AAATTGCTCAGAGTGGAAAGCCTTTGATGCAATCATGATTTACAATCTGGTTCTAAGCTTTGAAATCTGATTGGTAGAATAACCAGTGACTAGGCTCCTGGGAGCTGACTCATAGTTAACCATATTCACAAGAGACCAATATATGCCAGAATGCCAATTGATTAATTTATAATGAGAAGTATAACTTCCAAATGGACCAGGTACTAGTGTTTGCTGATCAGTGTATTATCTCCCTGTAGGCATATTTACATGAGAATCTAAATTATAATAAGGAGGTTGCTTGGTGAGGATGTACTCAGAGCAAGGGGAGTTCATGGGAAGTTTTAATGATTCATGTCATCAGGCTGCTTTCTGAGTTCTCCGGTCCACAACTGGACTAGACCTGCTGAAGCCATCTGGTGACATCAGACTCTCACTAGCTTCTCTGCCCCAAGTCTTGCCCTCATACAATCTGATGACATATGTTAACTTCAGGTGTGATCATGTCATTCATTTGTTCCCCTAGCTTCTATGTTAATTCACAATTTTAAACTCAGTACTACAAAAACCAGGAAATTTGGAAAAATAATTTAGTAAGTATACTCATCTAGATTCAGTTTATTAGGTATAATTTTGCCATGTTTTCTGTCTACATGTATATGCATATGTGACATATATATATATATATATATATATATATATATATATATATATATTCCACACTTTTTACCATGGTTTTCTAAACTCTCCATTTTCTGATACAACCTTCTTGAGCAGCTTCATTTTTCTTTGCTTACCTTTGCCAACTTATATCCTAGCCATAGCTAACTACCACGTGTTAGTTACCTGAATGTTCTGTGGTGGTCTTATATACTACACTTATGCCTGGGTATCTTTACACTCTTTGGAGATGTCTACTTGTTCCTGAAGACTCAGACATATCCGTGTCGACATAATACCTTATGCTTTTCTCAATCAAACATTTATTAGTCCACACTGTTTGTATCTATTTATATCTATGACTATCTCTGGCAAGGATAAGAAATGGTCAACCCCTGGGCCATATAAGGTTCTCAAAATCATTTAGTACATGACTGGACATGCTTTTCATCAGCCGCCCACAGTCCATCTGTCTGTATTGATAATTTTGCATGGCCCAAAATGTTCTTTAAACTATTCAAATGGCCCTTGGCAGCAAATAAGTTTCTCCAACCCACAGTGGAGTAAACAATAAATGCATTAAGAGTAGGAATGTTTTCTTTCTATCACTATGCATATTCCCTTTCTGTTTCCTTCTGCTTTGTGCTTAGTAACTGTCCAATCTAACTGCCTATTGCACAGTTCAACTTGGTTATGTCATAAGTAACTCAGAGCCAACATGTCCAAAGGGAACTCTCATCTTACCAACTGTATGCATTTAAAACCTGGGTTCCCTGATGGGTTGCTATGGGGTCTTCAGAGCCAAAAGCCTAACAGCAATCTTTAATTCCTCCTTGTATTTCATCTCCCAATCCAAATGTGCTTAATTCTACCTCTAAGATGCATTCCTATTCTATCCACTTCTCATTTCTGTTAAGCCAGGAGATTTTTATTCCTGACCACTGACAACAATCATCTCTTCAAGCTTCTTGCTCCTACTTTTGTTCTCTCCAATCTATTATCCACAGAGAAATCCTAATGATAACTAAATTTCTGATGTGATGTTATTCTCTGCTTCCTGTTTAAACCTAGTATATGTTAGTTTTTCCTTGTTGGATAAAGTTCAAACACATCTTATTTTTGCCCAAAGGACTCTGAAGATCTAAATTATTTGTATTTTTCCAACATTATCTCTTTTATCTATTCTTTTGCAGTGCTGGGGATCAACCCTCAGGCCTCATCTGTGCTAGGAAAGTGCCCTACTATTAAGCTTCATCCTTAGCCCACCCACTTTTATCTCTTACCACATTTCCTTTTGAAGTCTAGATTCCAAACATTGTGTACTTCCAAGGACTGTAGGAATTACAGCTTCCTAAGTCCTATCTTAGAACAATCCTTGTGTAGTTCTATGCCTCAAAAAGCTAACTCTTTCAAACAGCACAGGTAACATGCCTTCTGGAATGCTGTTTCTTAATTCCCAGTCTAAGTTACACATCTCTTTTTTGTTACTCACTACTGCCCTGTGTATACCCTCTTGTAGAGATGATACCACATATGTATAGCACTATTTACTGGAATAATTTTACTGGAATAAATTTACTGGAATAATTTCTCATGAAAGCTAATCGAAGCTTTTTGAGATCGCAGGTGATGCCTTATTTAACTTTGTTCTCCAATGTTTAGCCCATGGCATATATTAAATGTGAAATAAATACTAAGAAAATAATAAATGGATGAACATTGGTGAATATCTTACTTAAATTTAGTTTTTATACATATCATAAAATACCTCCTTTCTTTTAAACATAACATTTAAGCACATCATTTATTCAAAGTACAATGTATTTGATTTTCATTCAAGTATTATTGCTTGATTGAATCTTGAGTGTTCTTCACCAACAGATTTAGACAATATCTGAAAGACTGTACTGTTTCTTTTGAGATGGCTGCTCCTACTTATTTGCTTTCTTCTTGGTAACTTAAATCTCACAGATTAACATTATCAGTTTCTGGGGGTACTGTGCTATTGGCACCATTACCTACCTCCCATTGACCCCTAAATCCCCTTCCAATATCAAGATCCACGTTCCACAGAATTATCTATTTATTTATATTCTACTTTCCTGGTTGTGGTTTGGTATATACCATTACTTTTCCTCCAGGTCTCTCTCAAGCTATAAGAGCTCTACTGCACGCTGAGCACAAGTAGCTTCAATCATAGCTACTGACGAGGCTGAGAGCTGGAGGAACTGAAGTTTGAGGCCAGGCTAGGCAGAAAAGTTTGCTAGACTCCATCTCCAAAATTTTCAGCAAAAGAGAAGAGTTGGGGATGTGGCTCAAGTGGTAGAATATCATCTTAAGCAAGCATGAGGCCCTGTGTTCAAACACAAGTACAGACACAGAAAAAGAATATAAAGTTCAAAATTATCCCATGTGTAAATGCTAGACCATGGATTGAGGGTAACAAATGACTAGGAATTTAGCAAGAGTTAAGCTGGATAAAGTAGACTGCATTTCTTTGAAGTGGGCCAGGGTGGTGGCTCAAGTCTGTAATCCTAGCTACTTTGGAGAAGGAGATCTTGGATAGCACGTAGAGGCCAGCCCCAAGGGGAAAAAATAGATTGTGAGAAATGCATCTGGACCAGTGGCTGTTTTGTTTTGTATGCAGCTAAAGGGGAAAGGAGGATTGCAGTCTAGAACTGCCTGAGCATAAAGTGAGACATTTCTTGAAAAATAACTAATGCAAAAAGTGCATTGGTTCAAGTGGTGTAGCCCCTTCCTAGAAAGTGCAATGCACTGATTTCAAACCCCATTAGTACCCCCCAACAAACTAAGACTAGTCATCCTAATTATCATTTTTTCTAATTATTGCCTCAAGATAACAACTTTAAGACTATTGTAGCCAGGTACCCGTGGCTCACACTTGTAATCCTAGTACTCAGGAGGCTGAAATCTGAGGATCACGGTTCAAAGCCAACCTGGGCAAGAAAGTCTGTGAGACTCTCATCTCCAATAAACCACTAGAAAACCGGAAGTGGTGCTGTGGCTCAAGTGGTAGATTGCTCACTTTGAGCTGAAGAGCGCAGGGACAGTGCCCAGGCCCAGAGTTCAAGCCCCACCACCAAAAAAAAAAAAAAGAATATTGTAGTACAGTGTACCTGCATCTACTTAGTAGTAGTGTTTGGCAAATATTTTTTACACCATTTGAAGAACTGTCTTTTAAATATTGTATGTGCATGAACTCCTTTAATCATCTGAACAACTCTATGAGGTTGGGAGAATGTGGGAGGGGGGACATGGTTCAAAAAGAAATGAACTCATTACCTGCCTTATGTAACTGTAACTCCTCTGTATATCACCTTTACAATAACAATTTTAAAAAGAAAAAAAAAACCTCTATGATGTAGGCACCTTTGTTGTTCCCATTTTATAGATACCAAGGAAACAGGTACAAAGAAGTCTGTGAAGGTCATATGTTATTCATACCTGCTATATACTAGGTGTGTTAATTGAGCCCAGTACCATGTCCATTTATTGGGAGTCTAGGAAATGTATTCATTGATGGAGTAGACAGAAGTTATACACTCAAGTAAGGATACATTTTAGAAATACTGTAGTGGCCTAGGTGAATTGTGTAGGTGGGTCAGGCTCCTTCTGGTTGTTGAGAAAATGGAGAAAGATGTAGTTAAGATCACTAATGGTGGGTGAATATTCTTTTCCTTCAACTTGGTGTGTGGAAGGTGAAGGGGCATATGGTTTTGAGGCATATGAAATTTACCATTCGTTCTTGAGGACCAAGATTATTAGGAAGACGCACAGGATACAGTAAATTATGTCCCTGGGGTAAGGGTAAAAAGAAGACATACATATATGATGCTTGTTGAGTGAAGGAATGGAGAAAGGTGTCATTTACCAGCAATAAAAGGGGGGGAGGTAGTCATAAACGTGCTTTTCTACAGATGAGTAATTACCTAGCCCCCCAGCACTACTCAGCTTCCCCAATTCCCTTGCCTCCAAGCAGACCTCTGAGTGGGCCACTTTGGAGGAGTACTTTCACATTCTTGCACTGGAAGCACTACAAATGCCAAGCAGAAAGCAAAGGTGTTCTTACCACACGGGCTCGAATCCCTCAACTTCCCCCCCCCAAAAAAGGGACTTGTATGTTTGCAGATATTATAGCTCCTTACCGGCATATTTTTCATGAAATGACACGACACAACCTCCCGCCCTCTGCCCCCCCCCCGCCCTGCCCCGTCCCCAACAGTAAAGCCTTCCCATCCTGTTACCCTTTTAAGAGGCGGATCCCGCAGTGTCCTTTCCTCCCTCCCAACCACCTCTACCCCCAGTCAGCTGGGCGGAGCTTTCCACTGGAGCCCGGGAGCCCGACGCGGCCGCAGCAGCAGTAGCGAAGGGGACCGGCGGCTTCCAGGGGCTGCGTCTACTGCAACCTCTTTACTGCTGCGACGTGCCTCCAGGCTCCCAACTCATATGCGGGGCGCCTGTGGCTCTCTGCCTGCTCTTCACCTGGCACCTACCTGCTCAAGGCCGGGTCCTTGCCGTGCCCCGACAGGGCGCGTGCCACAGGCCCGTAGGGTACCGCGGAGCGCTCGCACCATGGGGCCGCCGCCTGGGGCCGGGGTCGCTGGCCGCGCTGGCTGCGGCTCTTCCCGATTGCTGGCCTGGTGCTTCTTACTGGCTCTGAGTCCACATGCCCCTGCTTCCCGGGGGGCCGAAGCAGTGTGGACCGCGTACCTCAACGTGTCCTGGCGGGTTCCGCACACCGGAGTGAACCGCACAGTATGGGAGCTGAGCGAGGAGGGCGTGTACGGCCAGGACTCGCCCCTGGAGCCCGTGGCTGGGGTCCTGGTACCACCGGACGGGCCCGGAGCGCTCAACGCGTGTAACCCGCACACGAATTTCACGGTGCCCACCGTTTGGGGAAATGCTGTCCAAGTCTCTTGGTTGGCTCTCATCCAGCGTGGCGGGGGCTGCACCTTCGCAGACAAGATCCATCTGGCTTATGAGAGAGGGGCTTCTGGAGCCGTCATCTTTAACTTCCCGGGGACCCGCAATGAGGTCATCCCCATGTCTCACCCGGGTGAGTGCAGCTACTAAATTGCACCCCTTCAAATTTCTGCCATGGCCAGTTTCTCCTGTTTTCCTCAGCGCTTTCCTCTTCTCTATCCCCTCACTCTGAAGAAAAATCAGTGCCCTTTCTAACCCCACCGCGTGGAGCAGGGTTCTTCCTGAGATTTACCAAACGTGGGGGTTGGGCGTAGTAGGGAGGGGGAAATCCTTCATAATTTGCCTTTCTGGTAGAACACGGTGAGACAAACGGGGTGAGCAGGCTGGGAAATCAAGAACGGCTTGGGCTTTTTGCGTTGCCTTTTCCTGGTGGCTCACAAGGGTGGAATCTCCCCCCTCCCTCTTGCCTTGGAGTGAGGAAGCAGAGGGGGGGTAGGCATTGGCTTTTAAAGGACTGGCAAATGGTCCCTGGAAATCTCTTTTTCCCTCACTCTTTGCTGCATAAAACCAGATTTTCCCCTCCTCTTTCCGTTTTTCTCCCCTTGTTTCCGAGATATCAGGTACAAGATTGTATTACTGCACCCTAGTTAACCTCTCTGCGATTTTAGTGGAAACTTTGTCAGCTCCTGGATTATTCTCTGCCCAGTGGTCTCAAGTCCCAAATGATTGTTTAGTATCAGTGCTTTTGTTTGCCTCTGGAAAAAAAAAAATCTGATTTAGGTTATTGGGTTCCCAAACAGATGATTAGTGTTACTAAAAAAAAAAAAAAAGCAAGGTTTATTATGCATGAATATAGCAAAGGCCTCGGCTTTGCAAAAGGAGTCAAGGTAGTTCTTAAATTGCAGAACTGCTGTGGGTGACTATCCTTCCCCAAGTTATCCTTTCCAGAAATCTATTTGTGATTAGGTATCCATACTATATGCATATATTGATCTTGGGCCCTGAAGGACAAAGAACTGGGGGAGAAAAAGGAAGGGAATGTAATAGCAATATATTGTGGTTGCAAAGAGCTGGGCCTCAAGTTAGACCTTGATTCCAATTTCTGCCTCATTGCTTACTCCATGACCTTGGACAACTTATTTGAAATCTTTTTGAGTCTAGGTGTCCTCATGAGTCAAAGAATTATGGATGATTTAAAAAAAAGAACTTATCCACAGGTTTGCCTTGAGAGTAGAAATGAAATAAACCCTTAATTGTCTAGGACAGTATATCTAAAGGTTAGCTGATCTGAATCAGTCACTGCAGAGATGAATCTCCTTAACTACTAAAGGTTTTTTTTAAAAGCACTCTGACTAGCTCTGCTTAGAGAGCACTAGCATACAGCAAAGAGCACTCAGGTGGGACTCAAGAGATTGGACTTCTTTGAGCCCCTTCTTGGCTTCTATCAGCTTTGTGACCTCGTACAACATACATGTCAAATAGTGGTATAGATGTGTAAGGGTGGACACCAAGTTAGTAGAGCATGCCTAGATAAAAGTGAACTGGATAAACTCTGTGATCCTTTCCTGCTGTAAAATGGGATTCTTAGATTTAGTTCATTAATTAAAAGAGCAAACTATCTCTCTTGGTTGATAATGCATTGATTAGAATGAAATTACTTTTTAAAGGCCAGTAATACTTAATGTGGAGGCTTAGTAAATATAGTATTTACATTTCAGTTGGCTAAGTACAAAGATTTGACTTTGTCTCCTCCAAAGGAGATTCACTTGCATGAATGATTTATAATTGAGTATTCCTTAATTAGAGAGTTCCTACTGTGATCATTTTCATTGCATTTTTTTTTATCAGTCGTGGGGCTTGAACTCTGGGCCTGGGCGCTGTCCCTCAGCTCTTCAGCTCAAGGCGAGCACTCTACAGCACCACTTCCGGTTTTCTGGTGGTTTATTGGAGATAGGAGTCTCACGGTCTTTCCTGCCCGGGCTGGCTTTGAACCGCGATCCTCAGATCTCAGCCTCCTGAGTAGCTAGGATTACAGGCATGAGCCACCAGCGCCTGGCTTTCATTGCATTTTTGTTAAAGATATTGACCTGATAATTTTAGGAAACAAAGTTAACTTTTGTTGAGTTCCTACTATGTGCTAAGTAATCTATTTATATCTTACTTTATGCTTTATAAGGTAAGATGTAAATATCTCCTGAATTCTTAGTGGTCTCAACTCCCAAATGTTTTGTATCAGTGCTTTTATTTCCCTCTGAAAAATCTGATTTTGGGTTATGCTTTATAAGATATCATGTAAATAGGGTGTAATAGAAAAAGCCCTGTAGTCAAGATTGGGATCAAATTCTGGATTTGTGATCTTGGATAAATTCTTTTTTTTTTTAATGGATAAATTCTTTAACTTTCCTGAGTCTTGGTTTCCTCATCTGTAGCATGGAGGTAATATTTATGTTGCTATGATTATTAAGAATACTATATATAAAACATCTAACAGATACTAAATGGCCAGTAAAGGTCATTTGTCATAATAGGTTAAGGCTAGGATGATGCAAAATTTAATGCACAAATGTATGATTATTCCACTATTGAAGACATGAGCACACTGGGAATCTAATTAAGGCTATTGTGTTTCAGGTACCAAAAAGGAATAAATCCTACAGATTCAGAATGTATTTTGATACTTTAGAAATTTAAATTGCCCAAGATGATGGCTTAGCAAATACTGCCATTAAGCTAACTATACAAAAAAGCTGCAAATTATTGAGGTAGAAAATCACATTTCTTCCCTTGAATCCCTAGAGAAACGACTATTCAATGCAAGGAGGAAAAATCACTTTCTATTTCAGCCATGTGTATTATCGAATATTTGTTTAGAAAGTGCTATGTTGTTTCCTTTACTCACTAGTGACAGTAGCCATAAGGTTTCTTTTTTAATAAGTGGTCAAAAAAAGTTGCCATGGATTATAGTGGCAGGAAGGTAGGACTGAGGTTTAAGTGCTGATTGATTTATTATATATTGCTGTGGGCTATGTGGGGGCCACCATATGTGGAAACCCATTATTGTCTTTTCTGTTTGGAGAATTTCTCTTCCACCACTCTCAAAGGGGCATGGTTTGATGTTTTTCCTCTTTTGGAGTTTGTAGTGAGTATCCACACTTTCACCTACCAATGTTCTGTGACCATGAAGTTCAAGTTACAGAACAAACTGGCTTAGAAAAGTTGCTTTGATTTATTTTTGTTTACTACAGGGCAAGCCACTGATGAAGAGCAATCAGTTAGAAAGATGAAGCTTGGGGGGTTGTTTTGTTTTGTTTTGCCAGTCCTGGAGCTTGAACAGTACAGGGCCTGGGCACTGTCCCTGAGCTGCTTTAGTTCAAGGCTAGCACTCTACCACTTGAGCCACAGCACCACTTCTGGCTTTTTCTGTTTACGTGATACTGAGGAATTGAACCCAGGGCTTCCTGCATGCTAAGGAAGCACTCTACCACTAAGCCACATTCCCAGCCCCACAGGCTGTTTTTTATGTACACCAAAATATCACAAAAGGTATTGCTGCAACCTGACCTCAACCCCTGCAATTTTGCCTGTGAATTTTATTTTGACAGCAAAGGATTCAGACAATCCTGATTCATATTACAAATGATAGATGTTTATTAACAGTTTGCCTTGAAATCTCAGGAGATATATATAGATATATAGATATATATTTCAATCAAATGAAACCAGAAACCTAGGAAACTAGGAGGAAGTTTTGGATTCAAACTTGCATTAGTAGTCAAAGTTCCTACCTTAAATATGAAAATCATATAAGGGGCACCCAAAACACAGTAAGCACTAAAGCTATTTAAAATGTAGATCGTCACAATGAGACACGTTAAACATACTCTATTGCTCTCCCTATTGCACAACAAACTGTTCTTTCCTCAGGCAGATAGGCCCAAGCTTTGCCTGCTGTCTAATTGAGCACAGACTATGGGTTGAAGTGGTGTGTGTACTTGCTTCTCCAATTTTCCTGGAGTCAACATGTGCAGGCATGAATTTATTGAAAGAGCTACAAACTTCCTCATTCGTGTCACATTTACAAGAACTTGAAACATCTTTAAGAGGGTAGCTGGAGAAACATTATTCCTGGAGGGCTATTTTAAAAAGTGAATGAAGTGAAGCAGTTCATATTGATGACTTGGTGGTCTCTAATGGGAAGGGATACACTTTAATGAAGAAAGCAATTTATATGCATTCTTGAAAGACAGCAGAGGCTGTTAGTTTAAGAGGAAGAGCTTTGCCATTTCACATTTTAAAACTCTCATGCTAGATATTTTATTTCTCTTGGCTTTCTCCTATGTAAGATGAGCATAATAATAAATTTGCCTCAAAAGGTTTCTAGGATTAAATGGCATAATATAGATAAAATGTAGAGCATAGCATCTGGAATATACTTTTACCTTTTTAATCACTGTAAAACTAATTAAATGTGTTTTACAAAATGAATGTTGAAAAATGAACATTGAATCCTGTATTTGAAGAACATAATTTGAAAATGAGTTGTATGAATACTTCAAAGTCAACACCCAAATCCTAACTTGAACTCTTCAAGAATAGGAAGGGTAGACTGAATTTTTCTCACTAGCAAACGATCTTCGGGCCCTCCAAGGTTTGCCATTCTTTTCTTCAATAATTGCTTTTTACTCCATTTAGCAACCAAATTTCCCTTCAGAGAGAGAGAGAGAAAGAGAGAGGGGGGGACAGAGAGAGAGAGAGAGGGAGAGAGAGAGAGAGAATGTGTGTATGCTGATTACTGGGGCCTCTACCTGTTGGAGCCACACTTCACTTCTAGTTTTTAGGTAGTTAAACAGTCTCACAGGCTTTCTTGTCCAGGCTGGCTTTGAACTGTGATCCTCAGATCTCAGTCTCTTAAGGAGCTAGAATTACAGGCATGAGCCACTGGTATCCAGCCCACAGAAAATTTTGAGATTGTATTGTATAGACAATATTTTCTCAACTATTTTTCAGTAAGTGGTTATACTTCCATCCCCAGGATTTTGACTTTGAAAATAACATTTTTCAGTAGAACAAAAGGCCCACAGAATGCTGAGTGGTAATGATTTACTGATACAGAGTAGCCTCCCCAAATCATCC